ATGTAAAAACAGAATGAAAGAAGCAAAAGCAGTCATTTCTTCTACCACCTATTTTACGTTCTGCTTTGCTAATAAGTGTTCATATTTTAACTATAGTTATTATTATTATTATTATTACGAATCTTATTACTAATATTAATATTATTACAATTTTTAGCACTATCGAGTGAAAACAAGAAAAAAAGTAAGCGTTCAGCAATATATTTACAATTGCAAAAACAATAATATATCAACGATAACAAAAAAAACTGACGTTGACAGTGTCGGCGGCAGCCGAGACACTGGCAGCTGCAGCAGCAGCGGCGGCTGTGACGACGACGACGACAATAATCACGGTAGTTTTTTCTGTTTTTATTTTTTTAGTTTCTCTATTTAGAATTTACATTAATTTAAAAAAAAAAAAAAAACAACAACAAACACCGGAAAAAAGTAATGGAAAATAAAAATAGGCTCTAGATAACTATGAGATTATCACCGGAAAATAAACATAGCATCGGGTTGTCAACAATTATATCTATTAATGATGTTTTCTTAACTTTATTTCAATCACCTGGATTTTTCTTTGCCAGTTGTTTTTTTTTAAAAACCGGGAAAAACTAAACCTCAGTAAATAGTGACAAACAGAGATGAAGAGAAAAAACAAGTGATGGCATTTACCAATACCCATTTTTTGTTATATCAACAAATTAATTTGAATCAACAAAAAAAAAAAAAGAATGAAATAAAAAAAATTTTCATATGCACTTTATCTATTATTAAAAATATAAACGAAAAAAAATGGGTTCTTTTTTTTCAAGACTATTAAAATTGTCGTCTAAAAAATTTTAAACATTATAAATTAATAGAATAAAAAAAAAGCTAGAATAAATTGATTTTCTCCTTCAGTTGTTTGTTGCTATCGTTTTTTTTCTTTCCCATCTGTTTGAGCGTTCTTTCATCTCATTTCCTTCTTTTCTTTTCTTTTTTTTTTTTTTTTATTCTGCTTCCGAACTGAAGCAATATGAGTATCATTCCAAATATGCAAATGTTTTGGCGTAGCAATACTTATTATAATGATATAACTGTTTTCATAAGTTAGTCTGGTCTTGTCGATTAGGTGTTACTCCAGACAGATTTTCTACACTTCCAGCAACTGATCTAAATATTCAACGTTATCATTAGACGGTGAACAATGATTATCAATTTCTTTATGCTCACACACAAAAAAAAAACTGATCTATATTTCTGACTTTTTTTTTTGACTGTTTTATAGATTGCCTAACAAATATCAGTGTAGAAAAATAGGCAAGCAAAAAAAAAAAAAGATTTGTATTAACACCCATAAACTATTATTTGTGAGATGGCAAAGAGAAAAGTAGGAGATTCGAAAATACAACAAACAATGATTGACTACGAGCAAGAAAAGAGCAAAAAATAAATTTTTACTCCTTCATTATTTGTTGTCTATAAACTTTGTATTTGAATAAATAGTCATAAACTTATAGTTAAGTGTCATAAAAAAGCTTTTAAAAGTTTAATTTAAAGTTTTTCAAGCGTATAATCACGAGAAAATTTTTGTGAGAATAATTTAGATGTTGTTATTAGCTCACAAGTAAAATGTGTGAAAAAAGCAAACGAGCTGAATACCTGTATGGTGGTGGTGGACTATGAGAATGTTGCGTGGATGGATTACAAGAGTTACATCCTTGGCTCACCGTAGATATTAAAGGTCGATTATGTTCATTTTGCTACAAAAAGGAACAATAAAAATGCTAAATTTAAAAAAGATTTCTTGCTTTGAGTAATAATGAATGATCAAGGGAGATGCAGCGGGGAGAAAGCGGGGAAGAGTAACAATGGAAGAGACTCTTTCAAACATGTCTTGCTAATTTGTTTATAAGCTTTATGCTGTTGGTTTAGTGATAAAATGTAGTTTCAGGTTAAAAACGATAATCTTAATTGGTTGTTCAGTTAATTGCTTGATTGGCATACAAGTAATATCGACTGATAAGGCCAATGTGATGAAAGCGGAATGGACAGCTGTCGGTTTTGCATTTCTTGTCTACGTTCCTCCGTGTAATCGATAAGGCTCCTCGAAGTGCAGGAGGACGGAGCATTAAATTTACTGAATGCTTCAAAGCAGAGCCTTCTATTGATTTATCTCAAGACTAATTTATATATCATCGTTGTTTTTTGGTCTCTTTTTCTTCAAGTTGGCCAAAATAACGTAGACATTTTTTTCACTTACCTTTACCCTTCTTAAACCAAACATTTATTAATTGGAAGCAGAAAAGTTGTTCTAATTTTTTAAAATTTTCTACACCAATTGCTAAAAAAAAAGAATCATGGACTAAAAAAAGCATGTAAAACACAAAAATTAGTCGACTTAGCAACTGATAAAGTTCGACTTATTGTTATTTCTGATGATAATTATTTTGTGTTAAGTCTCTAGAACTGAATTTGTAAAAAAAGAAATGCAGTTCTTTCTTATGGGTTGATCGATGAACTGAAGTTTGAAAGCTTTACACTTCATCTGAACCAAAACAGATAAAATTGCTAAGTAGACAGTACTAAACAAAAGATGGTTACAAGTGCTTTATCGAAAGACTAATGATGAATGTGATAGTTCTTGTTTTGTACCCTTGCTATAGTGTACATGTTCTAATATTTTATAGCTAATAAAAAAAATGCATGTATCTATCTTACAACAACTTCTTCTGCAAGCTGTTAAATGAAAACCGAAGAACAGCATCATTAGAAACAATAGTACTGCAAATGATATAGCAGTGATATAATACTAAAAAGATACTGAAAAGCATAAGTGATGTTCACTTAGTTTTCTGACCTACTCGTTCCTCTTCCTCAATTTGAAAAAAAAAAAACAAACCTACAAATTTATAGAGAAAAAGATCGAGAGAGCAAAGTTATACTTTAATAGCTGTTTGTTGTTCATAAGCTTTAAGAAGTTCAAGACATCTGTTTAGTGAATTTTCATCTAATGGTTCATCGAGGTCATCTTTAGACAGTTTTCCGCCCTTCCCGTTCTTCTTCTTCTTCAATTTTTTAATTTAACAGAGCCACAAATTTTTAGAGAAAAAAATCAAGGGAGTAAAGTAATACTTTAATAGCTGTTCGTTGTTCATGAGCTCTAAGAAGTTCAAGACATCTGTTTAGTGAATTTTCATCTAAAGGTTCATCGAGATCATCTTTAGAGAATGGCGACCGGAATGGTCCGAAACAATCGCAAAATCCGCAACGCATCATCTGAAAACATTTACCACGTGATGGTGTTTGAAGAACGGGCTATAAAAATACGTTAGAAATTGCAGAAGAAATAACTGTTATGAAGGTTTTGCAAATGCTTGGTTCATCAAACTCTATAAAAATGTCTGTATTAATTTCCATGAACAATATTGAAATTCCATGCAATTACAGAAAAACTGAGAAGTGCAAAACTGGCTAAACATCATTCGCCTTGGTATAAACCACCGTACCAAACGATGACAAATAAACTCTCGGTTTGTGTTAGAGGAAAAAAAGCAAGAGTTTAGACGTCTCAGTTGCGGTACTGTCAACAACACGTCTAACCATCAAAGCTAAAGTTTAATTCTGACTAATTATCCCATTCGTTCACTGAAAAATCACTGTAGCTGTATGACAACAGTTCATATGAACAGTCGAGATTATTTTTTGAATACAGCAAATATATAGTTTTTGATTGGATAGGAAAACTTAAAAAACTTTTTTAAATTTATCATTTACAATTGCTTTTGAAGTTCAAAAAATTTTTTTGTTAAAGCACTATTTTTCTAACCAGTTTCACTTAAACAGTGTGAGTTATTTATAGCAGATCAAAGAGCAAATGTTGTGCTAACAGTGATAAATGAACTAAACATCATCAACTTGTTTCCACCTCCGAAAATCATCTCAACGATTAGCAGCATCTTAGATTTACACTTGTCACATGCAACTTAAACATTGATATGTATATATAATAAATATACAATTAAACTAACTGAATAAACATTTAAAAATAGTACAAGTAACAGTATCGATAGAAGAGAAGCAATGCAAAGCATTGCGTGAGAATATGCTAAAAAATAAAGTGAAAGAAAAGAAGAAAAAAAAGAAGAAAAGAGGAAAAAAGTAAAGATAGAAAAATAAGATGAGATTAATAAAGGCAGAATGATGAAAAACGTAAAAAGCATATCTAAAATTTTAGCTGAAGCACTGACTATAGTTCAATAAAAAGAGTCTTCCGGTCTAAAAGCCGGCAAATAGCTTTAAAAAAATTTTTGATGTAAAAGAAAAAAACAGCTTGAATTTTTCACTTTTTTTTTTATTCTGGCACAGTACATTAGTTTCATAAAATTTAGAAGTTGAAAACAAATGGACTGTAAGCAACTGAAAAAATTTCAAAAATTTTCTACAATTTTTGTTTTTTTTTTTAATTTTATACATCAAATCCTATAATAAGTCAAAGTAAAAAAAAAAAAATTGAAAATGTCATATATCAAAAGCAAAAGTAATTGTGAGGATATGCAAAACAACGTAGTAGTTGGATTTCTTATTGTTCCACTAAAATGTGCACATATCTGCGTTAATATACATAGGTACAGCTATATAAATACATACATATAAACACAAACTGCATATAAATCCACGTAATATACTCAGTAGACCTCAAAGAAATTCTAGAAGAATTGATTTTCCTCTTTTTTTTTTTTTTTTTTT